CATCAAATAAAATGTAAGGTTTAGACAAGTGACGTTTTTTCCCCACCAATGTAAAAGTGGAAAACAGAGTGGACTCAAGCCAAGTCTCCGTGAAAGAATCCAAAAATCTGAATACGACTTCCTTTAATATTAGAGATACCAATCCCTTTTTACACGGTTACATTTTTGGATAACGTATAGGTCACGCGTTACTAAGGACAAACTTCGAACAGCCATTCTTTGCACAGAGGTCGAAGGAGAAACTCTAATCAAGCAATAGGTCTTGAATTTCAAATACGCTTATCTACACATTTTTTTTTTCTTTTCTTTTGAATTGAATGTAAAATTTATTTAAAACAAAAAGTGCTTTTTATGATAAGACATAAAGATTAAAACAAAATTGAGTACTACCGTTTCTTCCTCGCAACTGCACGGTATTTTCGGAGTATCTGACTTAGAAGGAGATATTTTGGTCTAAGCATCGTTCATGTTCAGTCTCCGTCTTCGACTATGGTCATGATTGGTATAGCTTTTTGATGAGCAATAGCATAAAACAGCATTAGCAGTAAGCAGTTAGAGCAGTATGCTATGATTAATATGCACATTTTAAGTGATTGGCAAAGTTGTGAATGATTAGATATTAAATTAAAATAATTTTTTTTTTACTTATTTATATGTATTATAATACAATATATATATATATATTAGTAATAAGTTATAACATCAATTTTTAGATTTTTTATTAAATTATTATTTTATTATAATACTAGTTAATAAATAATATGACAAATTAATTAATGGTATATATATTAAATTTTCATTTTAAGACAAATATAAATATATTTATAAAATATAAATTTTAATATTTAAGTTCTATTTTTATTAAAATTTATTTTAAAAAATGATAGAACATATAAAAAAATGATAAATATTAATATATACAGTAATATATATGTTTTATAATTACAGAAATTATGTATATATATTTTTATTGAAATGATTGTATATATTATATTTATAAATTATAACATAAATTTCTTTTATAATTTGTTCGAATTTAAATTATATTTAATTGAATTAATATTATATCATAAAATTATCTTAAAATAACAGAATAAATAAAAATAATGATAAATATGAATTTAAATAATTAAAATTTAATATAATTTATTTTTGATGTAATTTAAAATAAATTAGTTATATAATTTTAATTTTTGTAAAAATATTTAGAGATCAATGCTCTAGAAAAACTTCATTTGAAAGCATTGAAGGTGGAGCTTTTTGAGAACATTGGCATTTACTAATCCAGTTTTAAAAAACATAATAGTTTTTTAAATACTCTGCCAATCAAACACTATGCGTCCTGATCAGAGAGAATCGATCATCCCGGTTAGGTCTCGACGAGAAGCTAGGATTAAGAAAACCTAAAATGGGCCTGAAAACAAATACTAAGCCCAATAATGCAAAGGCCCAATTTTGATTACATGTTCTTTTGTTTTGATTATAAAACCAACAAAAAGGGGTTATTCTTTTATTTTTTTAAACTTATATTTTCTTTGTCAACACAGATTTCTTTTGAGTAATTTTCCACTACCACTTTTTGTCTTTTTCATTTCTTTAACTAGGAAACATATGGCACTGCGGGAAAGGGTTACTGAGCCACTTGTCATGCCACCGCGAAACTGACCGTTCTTAGCCGAGAAAGATAGTATAGGGTGAA